CTTTCTCAGTGAATTTGTTATTTGTTTACAGGAACACTATTAATTTCTGAGCATGGACTTTATATCTGCTATGCTGCTGAATTTGGTTGTTAATTCTAGGAGTCTTAATTCTGGGGTCTTCTACATAGAGTACCACAGCATCAGCACATGATAATTTAACTTCTTCCTTTACTATCCATATTGCATTTGTCTTGTCTAACTGTTGTAGCTAATGTTTTCAAAACTATGTTAAGTATAAGTGACAATACTGGCCATCTTAGTCTGATTCCTAATTCTAAAGTGAAACCTTTCAGTTTCTGACCATTTAATAGGATAACGGCAATTGGTTTGTTATAGATGACTTATCAGATTGAGGTAAAGACTGTCTATTCCAATTCTTTATAGGGTTTTATCACAAATAGGTGCTGCACTTTGTCAAACGCTTTTCTGTCTATTGAAATAATCATGTGGTCTTTTCTTTTCATTTATATATTTGGTACAGGGTCTCACTATACAGAGCAGACTCGTGATGATCCTGTTTTCAGCCTCGCCAGCAATGGGGATTACAGGCATTACAAGCATGCACTACCACGCCCAGATTCTGTTGGCAGCTCAGAGCACCCCCTGGCCCCTGTGCTTGCCAAAGCAGGCACTTAGTCTGTTGAGCTATCTCACCAGCCCTGATCATGTGGTTTGTGTCCTTGATTCTGCTAGTATGGTATATTACATTTATTTATTTGCATATATTGAGCTATCTCTGCATCCCTGGGATGAATCCTATTTGGTAATGGTGTATAATCTTCCTGATGATTTGCTGCATTCAGTTTGCCAGGATCTTATTGAGTTCTGGCATCTATGTTCATCAGGGAGATTGATCTATAGTTCTCTTTTTATGGTTGGGTCCTTCTCTCGTTTTGGTATCAGGGTTATACTTGCTTCCAGGAATGAATTTCAGAGTACCACTTTCCTTTAAACTTTATTAAAGAGTGTGAGGAGTAGAGAGCATTAGATCTTCTCTAAATTTCTTGTAGAATTCAGCAGTGAAGCCACGAGGACCTGAGCTTTTCTTTGTTGGTAGTTTTTTAACTATCTTCAATTTCATCAACTGATACTGAGTCCCTTAGAATTTTTATATCTTCTTGATTCAGTTTTGGAAATTCATATGTATCTAGGAATCCATTTCTTCTGAATTTTCCATCTTAATAGAGTATAAATTCTCAAAGTATGTATTGATGATCTTCTGGATTTCTGCAGGATCCATTGTGATTTTTTTTCCTTTTCCTTCCTAATTACATGGATTTGGGTCTTTTATCCCCTTTTTTTGAGGAGGTGGGATAAGGGTTTGTCAGTGTTATTTAATTTTTCAAAGAACTAACACTTTAATTCATTATTCTTTCTTAGTCTCAATTGCATTAATATATGTTCTGATTTTTATAATCTTTCTTTGTAAACATAGCACTTTCAACAATAGCCAATATTAAGTAAGCTAAATAAGTCAAAATAGTTATTCTTGCCTAAGTAAAACTACAGGATCAATGCTTTCGAAAACATAATTATAGAGTCCCAGCCCAGGCGCAGCGTGGGCCGGACCCTCTCCCACCCCCT